CTCCTTTCACAAGTGCATTTTAATCCATAAATATTCTGGCGATTTTACACGGGGGCATCATGTGTCAACACAGAACGTCCAGTCCATCACTGCCACTCATATAAAATATTTATGAATACATTTTTCAGATACAGACTGAGTGAGATGCTCGTAAATGTTTGACCTGAAGCAGCAGCAGCAGCAGCAGCAGATTACAGGGAGGTTACGTCATCCTCATGGTCGGAAAGCTCAGCTGGAGACGTTGAATCACTTACTGTTATGAAGTTATGTCTGTGAGGTTTAATGTATTGATCGATGAACGTAGCAGCAAAGGAACCGAGCTGTCGGCCGTCTATCTCGATAAAGAGATTGTGGATTTTGTGGATCATGGACTCACTGCAGTTATCCAGCTCTGTTACCGCTCCATTGTGCCGACAACACATCTGTCATGTGTAAACAGACTCATGGAATTTTTCTGTAGTGGAGCCGTTTGAACACAAATCTACGACTTTACACACATAATTTATCTTTCCAGCGATGACGATGCATGAAATAGGACTTGAGTCAGTTTCCATATCAGCAGCAGAGGAAGAAAAGGTCACCAATAATCACATTTCTCACTCATCATGTGACCTGAGCATGGGTGACCTGAGATAGTGAGGAATGTTTTTGAGGTTACCTGCGTAGACTGTGCGTGTGTTTGTAACATGTATTTGTGGATGTGTTCTGTTCTCGTCCACAGACTGTGGAGTACAACATCTTTGAAGGCATGGAGGTGCGCGGTGGGCCTCTGGTGGTGATCAGCCAGGGCAAGATCGTCTTGGAGGAGGGGAACCTCCACACCACCGAGGGCTCGGGACGCTTCGTGGCCCGTAAACCTTTCCCTGACTATGTCTACAAGAGGATAAAGGCTCGCAGCAGGGTACAGTGCTGTCTGCTTCCTGCTAGTGGACCTACCTGTGTGTTTTTGCGGAGGAAGGGACAATTTGTATCTTTATGTATTTGCAGTTAAAAAATCAGATTGTTAAAGGGTCATTTTAACAAATGTTGTTCTGCAAACCCAGAAATGTTTATAGCTCCCTTGTGGCGAAGTGTTGGGATGACGCCGCTTGTTAGTGATTGGCCGTAAATGTGCTTGTATCCGTCTTGGAATGGATGATGGAACATTTCCTTTCCACAGCAATGACCGCTGTGTCTTGTTTCCCATCATGCAGCTGGCGGAGCTGAGGGGCGTACCCAGAGGACTGTATGACGGTCCGGTCTGCGAGGTGTCGGTCACCCCTAAAACCATGACTCCTGCCTCCTCTGCCAAGACCTCACCTGCCAAGCAGCCCAACCAGCCTGTCCGCAACCTGCACCAGTCTGGATTCAGTCTATCTGGTCAGTGAGGCAAACCCACCGAGGCCTTCTCACGTCACACTCTTATCATTTACGCATTTTTAAAGTTGAATAAAATGATTTGAGTTTCAGTAACTAGCTTATCAGGCTTCAATAATATTTCTATAATAGAAATAGCTCCAGAAAGATGAAACGTCATTGGCTGGCTAATGTTCAATGTGATCTCACAGGTGCTCAAATCGACGACAACATTCCCCGCCGCAACACCCAGCGCACCCTGGCGCCCCCAGGTGGCAAGTCCAACATCGCCAGCCTGGGTTAAAGCTCCAACCTCGGCAGCTGAGGAGGAAACGGAGATTTGAGGGGGAAATGGCCGACGGGAGCAAAAGGGTCGAGAAACCACATCACGACACCGGGAGAGCCCCGCCCCCTTTCTGCACCGGGCGGCCCTTTAGCCTCGATCTTTGACTTCCTTCTCTGCTGCTTGTTCATGCACCCACTCCTCTTCCTCTTCCCCAATCCCTGATCCTAGAGGACACTGCTAGAAACAAAACAACAAATAATGAAAAAAGAGAAAAAAATGAAAACACTCCTTATTTGAGCACTTTTTAAAGCATTATTTAGTTTTTTTTATAATGTACCTTCTCCCTGCCGTGTCTCCTTTGGATGTTTGTTATACTGTTGTTTTAATAGAGGGGTCAAGACTAAACTGAATTAATACAGTTCAGAAAAGAGGATACATTTCATGCAAGATGTCCATTATTTCCCATTTTCTCTTTTACGTTTGGGAGTAATTATCGGAGCATGGGTCCAAAACCAGTTTTGTTATTTACTCACTTTGGTTTGAAATAGGCCAAACGATAGGTTGCTTGAAATTGAATAGTCTTGCAGTTTACTCAGCTGCCAAGAATCTAGTTCTTCCATCAAGCTGGTGACTTCCTGTGATTTGTCTTACGTTGCATTTCAATCGCTTCACTTTCCAGGGCATCGGCCATCTGACAACGCACCGCTGCGATCAATGCGGAATTGATTATTTGCCACGAGGACGGCCCTGAGATTTTTGAAAAATGTAGCAACACAGGAATCTTTTACGAGAGTTCGCCCATCTGTGGCTGAGCTGAGGTACATGAGTAAAAGAGCATATTGCAAATTTGGCAGCTGCGTTTAGAGCTTGTGAGTTGGCGGGGGAGGGGAAAGGGTGTTGTGCAGCAGAAGGAGCTTTGGCAGGTAGTAAATAGAGCTTTATGCCTCATCTCTGAGCGCTAGGGCGATGGTCAAGTGAGAGGATTGAAGGAAAGATTTAGGAAAGAGCGTCAGTTCAAGGCCTTATTGCTTCTTAGCGGCGTCCTCATAGAGAACTTGTGTGTGGAAGGTGCCGTTCACTACGCAGCTACTTATGTTTCCAGTTTGTGAATCACAACGGTACAAATTTTCCGCTCGACAGCTATTGAAGCACCTCGATAACCGTCCATCACCAACCAGTGCATTTACACACAGAATGTTTCTCCGCCTCCAAATGTGACTCTTTTGTACTCATCGAAGTCCCTCTCTCCTTTCCACTCTTTATGTGCCTGAACCCACAGAAGTTGTACTGATAGTTTGATCTTTATGTTTGTTTTTTCTTGTGTTGGTGTTCTTATTGAGGTAAGTGAAGGATGTAAGATAAATAAAAGATGTAAAATAGCCAGGACTAACCGATTCAAAGGTGCCAGATTTTGCGCTTTCATAGGGCCCACTCTGCCGGTGGAGCCCGTGTAAAGATGAAAACCGCTCGATATCTTGAAATGTTCGAATGTTTTAGAGTTTTTAACTTGTCGTCAAACTGCTTTTTTAGCGTCACCCTGTATTTAGTTGCCTTAGGGCTGAGCACTATTGATTTACGCTTGAAAGTAGACATGAGCTAATGTACTTCTGACTAGTGTGCAGTGTTGATGTGTGAGGGATGGGACACACCACAGGCTCCCGTGCAGAACTCTTTACTGTTGCGGACCATACGAGCTGTGCTGAGCGCTCATATGTTCATTTTTAATCATCTTTTTGGCCCGATCTGGTTTTCATTAAGCCAAGCAACTGATTTCCTGTGTTACCTCTTATGTCAACAAGGTCTTGGCCACCACTCACCATCGTTCTGCAGCCTTTTTTTTTTTTTTTTATCCCTCATGAGTCAACACAGAGCTCAGCCTGACACAGACACAACCAGGAGCCAGTTATGTAAATGACTTTTCTACCAACTTATTTTGAACTGGGGTGTCACTCAGTAGAGCGTGTACGTCCTCCAGTTAAAAAACGACTCGTAGTTGAGGCCGCGTTACATTTCTTAGCTGCACGTTGGAAGTAGTCGTAGGTTTGTTACCACACACGTTTAAATCCACTAGATCCAGATTGCCAGTTGCGTAAAAAGTCATTAGAAACAACGAGTCAGCTTTAGCTTTAGTTGGACATATCAAACAAGTCTATGTGTTGTTGTGGCTGTTTGAAATTCCAAAACAAATGTCTTTTAGAAATCTGATCTGCATCTAAGTGGAAATAATTTGTTTTGTATTCTTCTCTTTTTTTCATCTGCCAATTATGTTGCTTATCTAAAACCACAGCCAAGATGTTAGTAATTATATCAGCGTCCAATTACCACCGATGATTATATACATTTATCTGAACAACAAAACCCCAAACCTTGCCACTTACATTTATAGCCTTGTGTAAACATGTTTGTGCCCAAGCATGAAAAGCTGATGATAAGTTTGGTCTTTGAACTTGAAATCATAGAAATCTCTTTTAAAATCCTAAATGTATTTGTCAAATGTCCAGAATGTGAGGACCTCAGTGTCTTCACAAGCTCCAACAACACACACACGGCTTACTGCAAGTCTGACTGAAAATAAGATTCAAGTCTGTTTTTATGCAACTGGCCCCTGATTCACATACACACACACTTTTACACAAACTTACACCATCTCTGTGTTTGTGCTTTCAACCCCAGTCGTCCAGGCCTGCCTGCCCCCCCCCCCCCCCCCCCCCCCCCCCCCCCCCCTCTCATCTAAAGGGACGCCTATAGAAGGGAAAGTCCATCAGCATTACCAATGGTGGATGCATGTGAAGAATCCAAAGCAGGGGGAGTGTAACACATGCACGTCTCTGAAGAATTCAAAGATGAGACCAGATAGGAAATGTAAACTCCATCTCCATGGCAACTCAAACATAATACAACATAAGTCAGGAGGGATTTTTTCCCACTTCCTTTTACTGTGGTCTCCAGTTTCCTCTGTGTTGATGTTGTAGTAGTACTACTACGCTGTTACTGCAGACGGGAGTGCGGACGAGCCCAAACACAGATTCGTCTGCAGACCGAGCTGAGCTGAGAGTGAAAGTACCTTTCTTGTATTTATGCATTTTCCACGTCGCTCCTTCCTTTCACTTTGTCTTAATCCGTCTTTCTCTTCTATGCATTCTCTCTCTCTCTCCCTACCTCTCCCTTCCTTCCTCCCCTGACTCCTTCGTTGTTTCTGTCTGTTGCCGTGGTGACAGACCCCTCCACACTCGGGGTTCTGCTTTTTGTTTGTCATGGCAACTCTCGCTGGATTGGAGGTTGCCATGAGCAACCTGCTCTGACCTGGTGCCATTAGTACAAGCTTTGAACACACACACACACACACACACACACACACACTCTCTTTTATAATAAGTCTTTGACAGTGCTGCACCGTTTCTACATAATCCTGTGCTGAGTTGAGGAATCTGCTTGAAAAGAATCTGTTAGAGTTGAAACACACACACACACACACACACACACACACACACACTGAATGCTGGTCGCCCATGTCTGAAGAATTGACCTGGATGTTAGAAACCCGCTGTCACTTACGGCCTCCTCACCGTGTCCCATGCCTCCTCAGTTCACACATCCAACACTAAACCACACACTTATATTCCTATAACGCTCTGTCGGCTTGGATGCTTTTTCTACGCCATATTATGCTAATGATATATGACTGATATGTATGTACACTACATGACTGAGACGAGCGTCTGTCGCGTTCCGAAGGTCATCGATGCTCTTGAACCCCCCCCTTCTTGCCCTCTCCGTCCTTGAACGCATTCATGTTCCCCCCCCCTTCTGTAAGAAGCCTGTGCCCCCTTCGTGAAAGTGAAACTGTGTGATGGTATTTCGTCTTGGTGGCTGTGGGATTTCCTGGGATGCTTGCTCGATGTGGAAAAAGTGTCAAATCCCATGGATGGTGATGTAAAAAAGAAAAAGAAAAAAAAAAACAAGGACTTCAAAGAATTAAAAGAGAGAAAAAAAAAATCAAATCTCTGTTTCTTTTGTTTCTGACTGTGATGTTTTACGTTAGCAGCTTTTTATAAATGTAATAGAAAGACAAGAGGTGCAACACTAGTGCCTCGGTCCCAGTTAGACGATACCTGGTTCGTCCGCTTACTTTCTGGATGTAATGCAGTAAAGTTTAGAGGTGTTGTTGAACAAATACTGTAGTTTCCCCTGCATACATCCTAAATTATGGGGTATAACCCTAATCTGATCTGCAGTTTCTGTTTGATCTAGCTAATAAACAAATGGAGTGAGAACAACCTCCTTGGCAGAGGTGGTCATGATGTGATAACTCTATATAGTTAATTCTATGATCTCAAACTATGTTAAAAGCTTAAGGGCTGAACATAATTTCAACCAAATATTACAGACAACTCCTTTGACATCATCTAAAAGTGACTTTGGGGTGTTTAGTTGAGTTTGTGTTCTGCTGTCAGACAAGGGATTTAAGTCGGTGTTTGACCAGCATGCACTTTGTGTGGGGCACACTGAAACTGAACGACCCCTTCGAACTGACCGACTGGGGCCTCTCTGTGTGCAGTTTGCATGTTTTTGCCCTGCATGGTTGAAAATATGCAAGTTTCATGAAAGGTTAAGTTGCATGCAGGTGTCAATGTGTTTGCCTTTCTGTCTGTGAGCCCTGTGTAAAAAAAAGTCCAGGTTGTAGTCAGACCCCTGCTGGGCTGGGATAGTCTCTTCCCCTCCTGCAGCTCAGACATGAGAATGATGGATATCTCTTAGTTTCTACATCTAACGCCTTTGCAACTGCATACATCACTACCATGAGGCTGCATTAAATGTTCTGACACTAGGTGGCAGTGGTGCCCTCTTCTTCATCACTGCTCCTCACTTCCTGTGTCTCTTGTCTTGTTTCATGTGAGTGAAACACTGAATATCTACCTGGAGATATATTATCATCACAATTTCTATACAGTATCGCTTCTCCCCCCAGATTTTCAGTGTGGCCCTTATCGGCTGCACTTGACAATAAACTAAGATGATTAATATCTCTAATAATCTACAGCTCTATATCTATATCTTGAGGGTGTGTACACATACTGTTTGGGTTTATATATCTATTTGTGTGTGTGTGTGTGTGTTCAGTGATGGATCCAGCTCCTCACCAGTATCTGAATTATTGTTTGAGATACGACCCTGGGACTCATATTGAGTGTATCATCTATGTGTCTGGCTGGGAATATTTGTGCAGTTTGAAAAGGAAATGAAATAGCCTTTATTTTGAGTGATTACAAACAAATAGACTCATAGAAGTTGTCTGCGAGTGAAAGGAGAACTTACTTATTGAAGCTGTGGTGCATACAACTGCATTTGATATAACAAATGACACGAAGATATGAAGAGAGAGAGGGGACACTCAATGAGTTATTACTTCTCAAGCATGTAAAGTACACACCTCCTTCAAGGCCCAGCAGTTACACACACTTATAGATAGCAGCTCTCTAAATATGCCAGATTTGTTTCATTGAGATCCACAAATTATATCCTGGGAAATGGTGAAAATGTCAAAAAACACCAGCATGTGCGATTAAAGGAAATATTATTATAGAAGTACAGTCAAATTTACCTTTGACTGCTGCAGAATTAAGTTTGAATCTGTTCCCGAGAGCATTAAAGTGAAAACCCACACATGTGATGAATTAAAACTGTTTTCAACTTAAAAAGCATCCTGACTTCAGAGGCTCTTTCATGTGTCGTCCTCAGAGGCTCGTGGAAGAATGTGAGATAAGCTGACAACAAAAATAAACACACACAGGATGAATTAGCCTTTAGAGATTTGAATGAAAAGCACAATTTGTGTTTCTCCTCATTCGTTGGAAGTTGTTGGAGGTTGAAGGAAGATTTTCATCAGGAGAGCGTTCAGATTTCTTGCTCTTACAATATTATGATTTGATATTTGTGTGTGGATACATGTTCATCCATCCAAAGGGTTTTGTGTTATGCAGACACCCTCTAGTGGCTGTTTCATGTCAAGTCAGGAGCACTGAGGTGTTGTCAAGTTGCAAATCAAATCTATCTTTTTTTCCCGGCACTCTTCTGTCACCTGACGATCACATGAAAAGCTTAATGCTTTATTTTTATACCGATGCGTTAGAAGTATAGACGCAGCACATTCTTCTATCGCAGAGATGACGCACACCGTCAATCATCTATGCTGACAATCACAACTATGGAAATGAACGTCTCCATTTCATCTGAGCTGCACGTCTCATCTGGGAGTGCAGGAGAAAACTGGAGCACCCAGAGGAAAACCCACAGAGTGACGTCCCCTGAGTACGCCAACCAAACATGTATCTGACATGTGTCACATTTCACATACAACTGTAAAATGTATTTGGAAAGGTAAATGC